TCTGATTCCCAATGGGAATCACTAAGCAACTAAAAGAACTTTATAAATTAAGTAGCTAAAAATATTTGGAGGAAACTAATATTTTAAAAGATATGATGAGCTTGGATTTGAAACTGATCATGAAAGTATTGGCTATGTATACATATAGCCTCCCTGAGTCATTGAGAGTAATGTGTCATCCAAGCTTAAATTATTATGGTTGGTCTCACAGTCATTCAGATGTCATCCAGACTGGATTTGGCATTTTTGTCCCTCTGTCAAGTCCTTCTCCAGGATTTGGGATTATTATTATGGTTGGTCACATAGTTTATGGTTTAGACTGGATTTGGCACTTTTATCCAGCTATCAAATCTTTTCCATGAATTTGGAATAGGCAGATGTTGTCTGATAGTGTTAAAGCTACGTATCGTCACAGGATGTAAACTGTTCCAAGTAAAGCTGCCTTTTGCAATTCACCAGTGGTGATTTTTGTCAATGCCAGTGGTATTCTAAGGATTGGATCCAAGAGGGATATTACTATTTGTACTATTTTTACTTTCTTTTGCCACAGTTGTTCTATTTCTATTTGCGGGTCTTTATATTTTGTGATTTTTTTCTCCAGTTCTTTCTCTTCTATTCTGCTGTCTCCATATTCCAGTTATTAATGTGGGCCTGCAATGTTCACAAACTCAACAGAGTGGACTTAGTCACAATCCTGGCCCTCTTCTAGAACACAATATCACAATCAAAATGATGGCATCCACATAGAGAGCAGCAAATAGCATCTTTTATCAATATAAGGTGTGATAACTTCCTTCATAATAGACTATACTTTCTACTAATGTAGAATGCATACAGCAGTAAAAACTACAACAATCCTTCCACCATTCATCACTTTGCACATCCAAACAGACTGGGTGCATTCGCCGAATGTCAGAGTTCTATTAAGGAAAAAAACCAAGTAGATTCACCAGGCTATTCACTGCTAAACTGGAATATATGAAACATTATGCCACAATAAAGGTTATCAGATTTAAAGGTTATCAGATTTAAAGGTTATCAGAGTTATATATTGTCTCTGAACCATAAATATTGTTTCATAGAAATACTTAAGTCCCTACTTGGACATGGATTATTTCATCAGAAAATCTAGGCCAAGCGTGTCAAACTCAAGGCCAGTGGGGTGCTTACATCTGACCCACGGGGCCCCCCGTGGAAACAGTGACGCACCGGCCCATGGTGCCACTGCCAATGAAAATGGAGCTAGGGAGGGCCGCATGTGTGCTCAGTTTTCACTGGCAGAGGGCTGCAGGAGGTTGCCATGGTCAAAAATTGGGCATGGGGGAGCCGCACATGTCCCTCCCGAGCTGCGTTTTCACTGGCATAGGGGTGCAGGAGGCTGTTGCAGCCCAAAACAGCTTGAGAGCCCGTTCTTGCTGGCAGAGTGCTCAGGCTGCCACAAGTGTCCCCGACATGAGTGACATCAAGCTGGCCATGCCCACCATAGCCATGCCCCCCCTACCTCTCTGAGGTCAAACACTACCCTGATGCGGTCCTCAATGAAATTGAGTTTGACACCCCTGATCTAGGCATTCTATCTTGTTTTGATCTTTAGTCCTAATTAAACATTACAAGCTGATTCTGAATTGTACTTCCTCTCATTCCATTTATGAAACAAACAAGCAAAGCCATCACAACCAGGATTTCCCTGCCCCTTTCAGCCAACTATTACTGAACTGGAATGTGGAAGCTGAAAGATTTTTTTCTCTCTCGGGAAATGTAAATTACATTTGTCTATATATGGAAAATCATGGTTAAATCATTAATAAATTATCTGTGTATTTTGTTCTCTTTCAAGAATAAGTAATCCTAGATTTCCCCATATGTGAAATCCTAAAAAAAGAAGTGCATGGATGTAAACATTAATCTTTAGTAATGTAAATACCAAAGACACCAATACATGAAACTATATTCATGATTGGACAGGCCAAAGAATCCTCATAATGCCTAGATCAGGGTTTCTCAATCTTGACAACTTTCACATTGTTGGCTGGGGAATTCTGGGATTTGAAGTCATACATCTTAAAATTGTCAAGGTTGAACTACACTGGCCTAGGTCAATGCAAATTGTACAAGTTCACGTTAAAATTATAAAGCTGAGCTCTGTATATGCCAGAATTCCATCCCCAAATAAGGAGAGAAAATTTGATTTGTAACTATTTTTAGCATCTGTAAGTTGTCCTACAAAACTGTTTTCTGACCAACCAGTATAAAAAAACATATGGGAGGGGGGTAGCAGCCCCAGTCTCTATCATTCTCTCTCACTCTCTGATCTCTTAAATCTAATCTTTCATCCATCTGCTGTTTCCAGGATTTCTTTTTGGTGTGGTTGAAAGAGATCTTACCATTTATTTTTCCAATTTTTTCAACACTTATTGGCTTCCTGCAAGTATCGTATCTTATACCCTGTCCCCAAAATATCCTTTCTTACAGCCTGAGACAATTAAAAGCTACAAAGGCATGAACTATAAGGACAGGCAACATGTCTTGCCTGTCTAATCTTCTCCTTAGTTATTTTAAAAAGAATTAAAATGAGAAGTCAGCTTGTTATTCAATAGGCCCAAGCATCTAGCACTGATTGCATGTCTCTGGCCCACCATACAACATGTTAAAATAAAAATGGTGAATCACTGTAGCACTCAGGTTTGCCAGGATGAACACATGCCTGCCCCACTCCCCCATATAAAAAAGCAAAATGAAACAGTACTAAACATCCTATAACATTAGAAAACATAGAGGAGAACTGCAGCATTTTGCATAAAATTGGTATTTCGTGATTGGCATATCACAACCGTTGTCCAAATGTACAAGCATGTCCATGAGAACCATTTGGTGAAGACACTGATGTAACAAATGTACTCAATGGCCAATGAGTTGTCTACTTCTGTCATGCAATATAAATATGTGCAGTTCAGATATGTGCCATGATACATGTAGACATCTGTGCTGCCTATAACACGATGCTTTAAGTTAGAGCTGGAATTATAAAACTGCTTCAAAGAGTTTGCTGCTCATTCCCTTCTGAGGAACTTTGATTTATGTAACAAAACAACAATTGGGGGCTATACAAATATAGTATCAAAGAACTTTTCACTGATTTGTCTATTTCTTCTATGAGCTACCCACTCTTCCGCTAGGACACTAGATAAAAAGCAAAGAAAAAGAGAGATTATATTAATAAATAACCTATGTCAAAGTAGCCAACCAGCACAAGTAGTAAAGCATTTTGAGAAGATCAGTAACATTGTGTTAGGCCATGGGTTACTTACTCTGCCATTGTTTCTTCTCCACTAATTATTTACATGTCGAAAATAAGTAAGATGTCCACATCAACACACCAATATTACAGCACCATCTGCTTTTAAAAGGTTCTTCCAAAATTCTGGTAAATACTCTGGCTCTCCTTCCTGATTTCATCCAGAGGGCAGAAGTTACAATGTCCCAATAATTTAAATTCTAGCTATTGTATACTGTTTTGGGTAGGACTAGAATCAAGGAATAGAATTGTCTTTGGATGAATAGAGCCTGAGTGAGCTTTGCCAAAGCTGACAGCATTAGCAAGATTAAACTGATGATGTCAAAAGTTAAGCAACATCAGACATGGTGAATATTTCTAGACCAGGAAGAAATCTTACATCCATAATTAGTTGGGGAATAAAGGTATCACCAAATTACTTTCATAGTGTTGAAACAAACAAACACACACACACACAAAATTTGGAACTGACCATCAAAGAGCCCAGGTCAAGATTTTATCTTGGTCCACGAGTCCAAGTAATAGGAGTATCTTCAATGAATTCCAGATAGAGCTCAGTAGTATCAGGAAATTATTGTTTTAATCTATTGCTGCCAGTGCATATATCTTTAGTATATATTTGTGATGCTGTGCAAATGCCCATGGCTACACTACTGATCTGGAAATTGGAAATTCATGAAAGTCATGTGATAATCATTTCCTTGGTGTTTTAAAATACCACCTGGTGCTTTGTAACATGATATTGATGTCTTTGTAAAATCATGGGTATTTTTAAAATCAAACCAATATCATTATGTAGGAGACACATATTCATATTCATAAGGGCTAGGTAGTGAATTTTAAAAAAGAGAAATGCTACTTTTTCTTCCATCTTTTGCTTCCCTGGGGTTGTGACTTGGGCTTCCTTTTTTACTGTTTTTCTCAGGTGATCCATTTTCTGCTTCAGGAAGTTTGAAGACATCTATAGCCTACACATGTTTGGTCTTGTTTCATTAAATTCTTTCATCAATGAACAGGATCAATGGAGTAACATGGACACCCTCACCGGGGTGGCAGTGATAATAATGGTTTAAGCCAAGGATGTCCAACCTTGGCTACTTTTAAGACCTGCAGACTTCAACTCCCAGAAATGATGCCTGGGGAATTCTGGGAGTTGAAATCCACAAGTCCTAAAATGACCAAGGCTGAACACCCCTGGTTTAAGTTTCTCAATCTAAAGTTTCTTTCCTAGGTAGCCAAGACTATTATTACTTCAAGTTGCTTTGTGTCCTGCTTTTCCCAAGAACCTTTTCACTACTTCACCATCACTGCTGCACTTTCCTTCAACAAGGTACACGCAGAGAAGTAACTTTTCAGGCTGCGTCGCGATTGTGCGTGAGGGTGGACGGCCGAAACGGACCAGACGGGCCTTCTTTCTTTTAACAAGAGTTTGAAAGTAAATGTCCGGGCGCTTTGCAAATCACAGGACTCGGCCAGGCTTAACACACCCGCTGCGGGCGTGTTAAATCTTTCTCCTCCGGTTCTCCTTTCCTCGGGTTGACAACCATCTGGGAGGTCACTGCAAGGCTTCGCATGTTCCCGGCTGGGTTTCCACCAGCACGTTGGCTTGAGGGGCTTCGGCAGCGAAACGAGCGACCGGCCACGCTCGCCCTCTCAACGCCGTCAGCCATGTTGACGCGGCCAGCCGGGGAGGGCCAGGGAAAGGCACGCCCAGAGAAAGAGCCAAAGCCGCTGGGAGCAACCGCGCCGCAGCAAAAGCCGCTCGACCCGCTTGAAGAGAGAGGAGCGCCGACGAGGTAAGGCCGGCAAGCGAACCTTTTCTCCGCAGGTTGCCTTGCGTTGGCGGGAAAGGAAAAAACAGGTGGGGGCCGCCGAAGGATCCGAAACAGTTTCGGGAAGCTCTCGCCTCCGAGGCGGGAAAGGAGGGGGTGACGGGGACGCATAAGGCTTTGGCCACAGGTGCCGCGGCGGGGGATTCCCACGCTGCGCTTCTCCCTCAAAGGGAATTTGGGCTTTTCTTTCGGGGCGGGATTTGCGCATTCTCTTTTTTTCCCCTAAGCCTGCTTAGGAGTTTGGAACAAACTTCGCGCTCGGTTTCCCGAAAGTTTGCGGAAGGGAGAAGTGTCCCTCCCTCCTCGTCCCACGGAGTTGAAGGAAACTTCTACCCCAGGAAGCGTGTGAAAGATTGGCGCTTCCTGGAATCTGGTTTTTCCACGACGGGTTTTTTTTTCCCTCGCGCGAAAAGCCCCCCTTGATTTAGGAAGATCCACCCCCTTCGGCGTGGGTGGCGTTGCGCTGCTCTTCGGGTCGGCTTCGTAAGAGCGCGTTTACGGAGAGTGAATAAGAGAGCATTTCATCTGGCTACTGAAATGGAAGAACTGAGCTACTGAAAAGAGTTGATCTCTCTTCTTTTCGCTTACAGGAGTGCGAAAAAAATAGAAAATCCGCTCTTCCCTGTACGTGAACGTGAAGGTGGCGCAACAGTACAAAATGAGGACGTTTGTGTCCTTTGGGGGAGGCGGGGGAGGGCGTTGAACGAAAGGGTCTCCCTCCCCCCCCCAAAAAAAACCCCATTAAGTCGCTGAAAAAGACTGCGGGTGCATCTGACCTACATTATCAGAAAATGTCCCCTTCCCTGTTTATAGTATGAGGGGCACCAGAGAACAATTACCGATTTCCCCCCCCCTCCTCCCCATGGTTAAGATCGACCCCTCCGTGTGTTTGAGTCCTATGTGGAATGGGCGCTTGCAGTTTGCTTATTGCGGAATAGTCCTAATCAGATTGTAGCCATTGTCTTCTAAAGAGAGCCGACTTTGAGAAATACGAGCTATCAACTGGTGGCCTGAGAGGCTTAGCACAAGTTTTCCTTCCTAGGGG